TTTTGAGTGATTTTAGTGTTTTTGTGTGGGGGGGGTGCGGGGGGGGGGGGGGGGGGGGGAGGTGGCTACCATAAAGTTGTTGCTTTTATTTTATTCATCTTAATATAGTTTTATATATTTATATATATATATATATATCCGTGTGTGTGTGTATATATATATATATATATATATATATATATATACACACACATACATATTTTTTCTATTCATATTGAGTTTTTACTTTGGCGATACTGGTGGTATGTTCTGCTCTTTGCCAGAGAGCCTGAAGCCTCCCTGAGGGGAGCCTCGTCGAGCCGGGGGCGGGCGCCGCTGGTCCCGGAACTTGAGCCCCCCCCCGCCTCTGGGGCCGTTGCTGCGGTAGTAACCCTGAGAGTCACGTTCGCGCGGCGGTCGGCTCTCCTTGCACTCCCACCCGCCCTCCTTGTCGTGGCCCCGCTCCTGCTTGTCTCCGGGGCTGGTGCCGGAGCCCGGCTCCTCGGCCTTGTTCACGCGCAGCTCACGCAGCGGCTGGCCAGACGCCGTGCCGGAGGGGGCCGGGGCCGCGGGGGGAGGGTCCTTGGGTGGCCGCTGGCACACTTCAGCGTAGCTGAGTTTACGGGGTTCCTGAAGCAAGAACATCTAATGTTAAAAGTTCTGTGAGGGTGAAAAATTATTTATTGATTTGTTTATTTACAGTGTCTTCAATAAGTATTTATACAACTACTTTAGTTAATCAATGAAAAAAGAAACAAAAAAAACAAAACAATGCATTTTGCAGGAATTTTATGTAATAGACCAACACAAAGTACAGCACAGTTACGTAAAATAAAAAATTATGTATTTGTGCGTTCTTTCAAAACTAATTAATGCCACATTATATGTAATTTTCTTTATTTCAGTTCTACTTTATTTAATTTTTGTTTATTTCTACTTCAATCTCAACACAACATTTTGTAGGTCTGTTGGAAGTAATAATGTGGTGGAAAAATATTACCATAAATTATTCTGAGGAGTGGGACATTTTTTTTGGATTAGGAAAAACTTTCCCTAAACATGCCAACGTAGTAAAAAATTTTGCTTGATGCAAATTGGAAAATTATGCAAACTGACGAAAATCCCTTTAGAAAAACTGGTTGACCATTTCATGAAGGGAGATCTTGAAAAAATGGTTTTACAGCTAAAAAAAACAAGAAAACATTTGATATAGTTATAATTTTGAAAAACTTTAGTCGTTTTCTTTTCTCTTCAAACTTACATCACCTAAAATCCAGATGAGGTAAATCGAGGCCTGTGGCTGTGATGTGAAAAAATTCAGGAGGTATAAATACTTTTTGTAAGGCACATTGTGATTTATTTGGTCAAACCCTCAGATCTCATAATCTTAATGGTCATTGGGACAGGAGTGAACTTTCTGAACTGAAAGGAGGAAAGAGAAGAAAAAGCAGAAGAGATTGAGAGAGAGAGAGAGAAAGAGAGAGAGACAGACAGACAGTCTGTCCACTCCTTCATTTCCCTCTCTGCAAAGTTTCTTGTCATCAGGAAAAAAAAAATAAAAATCACACTGAAAAGTTGGCAACAAAAGAGCAGATTTGATTCGTTACCTGTGCTGGGGTGGTAATAGCGGCTGTAGACGGGGCAGGTGTGCTGGGGGTGGCCGGCGTGGAAGCAGCAGAGGGCTGAGGTCGTGAGCTAGACGTGGGCTGTGAGGAAGAGGAGGAGGAAGAAGGGGAGGAGTTCACAGTAGCTTGAACTGGTGTACGTTGAGTTACTTTGGACACTGGGGGTTCAGCCCGTTCCACTCTCTTCTCCTGATTACTTATACTGTCAGAAAAAAAACAAAACACATCAGACTTTAGTGCACCAACAGAAACATGCGAGTGTCTCAAAATATGAAAAATAATTTACCGGGAAGCCAGAGATCCAAGTGGTTGAGAAACGGATTTTGAGACGGTCGGAGCAGGACTTGAGACGGTCACAGCCACCTCTGTGGCCAGAGTTTGGGCTGACGCTGGACTCACAGTGGTATCTTTATTGGTTTGCTCCGTCTTTAAGACGTCGAGAACCACAAGCATTACACCTCTGAAAACCCAAGCAGCTCAAGCATTGCTGAATCAGACAATCCTTACCTTGTACAAACCACGTACGACATCGGACATTCGGTTTTCTAGCACCGGCTCGCCCTGTGTGCTCACCACACAGCCAGGAAGAGGCGGGAAGTTGGTGGCAGCCAAGTCAAACTTGGGCGGAGAAACCTTCACCTCAGCTAGGGGGACCGGCCTCTGTGAATTAGAACGAAGAAAATACAAATAATGGAATCACAATTCAAGCCTTAAAAATCAACATAATCTCTACAATGAGACGCAGCCGTTTACCGTGTTCCGCTCCTCTTCTCGCCTCCTTCGCGTTCCTCTATAGGTTGTGCTTCGTCTGAAAGACAAATGGTTGATTATGAACTGTGGAATAAAACTGACTACAGAGAGAATCAGCGTAACTGTGCAAAGGTAAACATTATAAAAACATCAAAAACAGAACCACGTCTATGTTATCTGCTACAAATGCTGAACTGCTGTTAATAAAACGGTGCGCTTTTCATTACTGTATTTATTTTAGGTTTTATCTGGTCAGTGTCTCGTCTGCTTACAGCTACCAGAAAAAAACTTTTGTGTGCAGCCTAAATGAACCGACAACTGATTTGAAATAAAACCTTGATTAAAAAAAAACAAACAAAACCTGACTGTAGAGTGAAACCAACACCTTGAATCAAATGTTTACTTTTTTAATGTCCGGCCCTGAAACTCTTTATCCCGAGACGCAAGTCTCAAAAGATCACAGTACACACTAAACACCACGACTGTAATAGTTTTCAAACATCATGACCGAATGTGTGAAACGCAACCAGTACTTCATCGACACAGAAATGAGGTTTAACGAGGGGATTATCGGTTTACCGTCCACGTCCAGCCATGCCGCTGTCGTCGTTCGGGTCCAAAGACGATGAAGAGGAGGAGAGCTGCGAGAAGGCTGAGGTGATGTCAGCGGTCGTCTGATGAGTGGAGGTGGGGGCGCCGATGACGGGAGGCTGGGGGCTGCGCAGGCCGGTCAGACTCTCCAGGGGAACAGGGGTTATTGAGGCTGCAGTCACCTCGCTGGTCCTAATCTGGGGTTTAACGTGGTTTCTGTTGAAGTAAAAATCCAAATAAAGTTTAAATAAAGGATGAGGTCACTTTAACTTTTAATCACATTCATTTTTGCAAATTCCCAAACTTCTGAATGATTCAAGCCATTTAAAGAAAGATACAAGACAAACTGTAGACACAGTGAAAATTAAATTCACTTAACATGATTTCAGCCTATTTAATCAATGTAATGTGTCCGATGGACATGCGCTCAACAAGGACCAGTGTTTAAAGTCTTGTTGCAGAAAAGTTATAGAAAATCAAAAATCAGGGCAATGTTTGGCAAATTCAATACAGGGAAGTTCAATGCATCTAAAAATCCACACAGACTTGGGATGTTTGGCTTTCAGGTGAAATTTATGGAAAACGTTCACACTATAGTGACATCATGGAAGTAGGACATCTAAGAAGATGACTTTGACATCTTAATATATTAAAACCAAAGCCAATAGTGGTGAGTTTGCCACAGCAAAAAATACATCAAACATCTGTTGTTAAGCTTCTTTTTGTGCAAAAAGTACTGAAACATTAATAGTTGGACCCATGCGTTCAGAAGCTTAGAGGAGGTCACATTAACTTCACCTGGAAAGGTTAGAGTGCGTTTTAGGTTCATCCTGAAATTTCACCTGGAAGCCAAACATCCCTGACTTTTTGTGAGCAAAAACAGAGCAGGTTCATACACCAAGTAAAGCTCCCATACTGGTGAGAGTTAACTTTTATTAGATCTACTTCACTGTTTCCAGTCTTCCACAACAATTTCTCAAGGATGCAAATTTTAGGAAACATTCAGAATTTTTTTTGAGATTCACAAATGGAAAAGGTTAAAACACATTAAGCCACAACAATCCCAATTCAACGAAAGTGGTTCCAGTGCTGGTTCAGAGCTGAGCTGCAGATCAAGTCTTTCAACAGGAACTGGGATTAATCTCTGGAGATGCTGCGTCGAGTCTAGAGATGCAGCTGACAATTATTTTAGTATTTGATTATTCTATTAATTATTATGACAATTAATTGGAGAAAAAAATTGTCACTTTGTGCGGAATTTTTATTTATCTACTCAAGCCTTTTTATAATATGGAAATATACAAATTATTTTTTTAAATAATCAAAGTTTTGATGCCTAGAATGCAATGACTCCTTTAGTGTATGCGCCATCATGTGTAGGAACGGATGCATCTGCAGCAAAAAAATAAAAAATTACTTCTAGCAGCAACGTGTAAAACGTTCAGCCCTACTTGATTTAA